TTTGTGTATAAAGCTGCCTCTTACCAGGCAGGCTAGCAGTATAAATGTTGCATTTATAGGCCTTGAGATTTGCTAAGTATCTTTTTTTTTTTTTTTTAAGGGTTATCTCTTTCGTACAGTTGCTGGGAAACATCAGGATTTAAAATACATCTCTCCAGATAGGAATGCTCATTGTACCTCTAGAGCTTCTCAGTGAACAGAGTTAAAAAATACTTATTTTAGACTTAGCCTTAATTTTTTTTTTTTTAAGGATTTTATTTATTTATTTGACAGAGAGAGACACAGCGAGAGTGTGAACACAAGCAGGGGGAGTGAGAGAGGGAGAAGCAGGCTCCCTGATCAGCGGAGAGCCTGCTTCTCCCTCTGCCTCTGCCTGCCGTTTTCCCTACTTGTGCGCACGCGCACTCTCTCTCAAATAAAATCTTTTTTAAAAATCGAAAAAATTGAAAAATTTAGAAAGGGAAGAAGAAAAACTTAGTTTCAGAACATTTCAGTTAGACACTAAAATAATAGTAGACCTAGTCAGTGACCTACTTTCTCTTTTTCATTCTAGATTCAATCAAGTAAGAAAAAGTATTTGCTAAATGTAGACCTTTACATGTCACTCTCCTCCTGAGACATGTTCTAGGTGAATGTTTTCAAAAGTCCTATTCAGAATCCTGGCCTCATTTTCTACCTTTGATTTGTTACAGATTCTCCATCAGTCTTTATCCCTGGCATCTTCCCCAAAGGGGACCATTGAGAACATTTTGGATAATGACCCAAGGGACCTTATAGGAGACTTCTCCAAGGTAATTCTAAACAGACACAAGGAGAGCTGCTCTGGCTATGTGATTTGGGTTTTAGTGTGTTTCCTAGAACCGCCCCCCCCCCAGCCTTTCTCCCTCCCTGGGGTGGCTCTTGCAATGTCCCCAAGGGGACACAGTTTGAAGTTTTTAAAGATAAGGAAACAGACTCATGATCTGATGTATCTTGGTCTCTCTGGGACTGTCGACCTTACTGGTACTGATCAGACAAAGTAGGAAGCCACCAACCAGCCACCTCAACTCCCACCCAAAGGCCAGGCCCTTTGGGAACTGTGTTTCTTTTCTTTTTTTTTTTTTTTAAAGATTTTATTTATTTATTTGAGAGAGAGAGAATGAGAGACAAAGAGCACAAGAGGGAAGAGGGTCAGAGGGAGAAGCAGACTCCCTGCTGAGCAGGGAGCCCGATGCGGGACTCGATCCCGGGACTCCAGGATCATGACCTGAGCCGAAGGCAGTCGCTTAACCAACTGAGCCACCCAGGCACCCGGGAACTGTGTTTCTGATTATAAAAATAGTAATGCAGTAAAGTACAAAGAAGCAAGAATAAACCTATAGCCTCACTACACCAACTGTGTATCGAAAGGTTATCTTAGAAGGACCGAAGTTGACGGATCTCTCTGTTGTCCAGAGAAGCACAGCCTTTGAGGGAGAAGGCCCTCAGGGAAGTGCAGAGGAAGGTCTGCTGATGGCCTGATAGCACGGATTTGCAGAGTGGAGGACTTGGCTGCCTTTGGGCTGTGGTGAAATACAAGGGTGGGACAGAGAACATGTCGGTAGCAGCTCATGTAGCCACACAGGACGTGAAGGCTACTAGATCAATTTCTTAGTCATAGTTTAGCTAACATTTATTGAAGCACTACTGTTACGTGTTAGGGAGAGATTCCAGTATGAGACCCAGTCCTTCCCTCAAAACACTTCTCATGTGGTAAGACCTGCCGTGTCATGGACCGCACGGTAGATGGAAGTGAAGGTCAGTGCAGTGTAAGCAGGCTGGGAGAAAAAAGGGGGGCTGTCTCAGAAGAGTGGGGAAGGTATGGGTCTGGGCCATATGTCATTTCAGCCAGCTGAGTTTTGAAGGAATGGGGACACGTAAGGAGGTTAAAAACAGAAGACAATTCTATCTGAAGGGAAGAGCGAGCAAAGACTGGGTGTGTCCTCGTTGGTGGAACCTTCCACTTGAATTGAACGTGTTGGTTATATTTGTCATAATGACCTTGCACATGGCCATAGGGATGGGTGAGCTTTTGATTCAGCCGGTTGCCCTAATGAGTAATTGCTGATGTGCCTGTCTTTCCCCTCAAGGCCAGGCCAGGTCTCATTTTTCCCATCTCCAATGCCCAACACCATGTTCCTGACAATCTGGCTACTGAGATGAAGGTTCCTGACAAGTAGGGGGAAGGAAATTACCTGAGGTTTCTGTATTTACATCTGGCTTACTAGCTAGCTATCCTTGGATAGGGTTGCCCAGCTTTACATTTGAGAATGAGGACAATGTGCCGTGTTGGTGTGTGCGAAAATGACATGTCAGGATGTTAATGAAGTGTCTAGATGAGTAACCTGCCTGTACTATTAAGGTTTGTGTATAAAGCTGCCTCTTACCAGGCAGGCTAGCAGTATAAATGTTGCATTTATAGGCCTTGAGATTTGCTAAGTATCTTTTTTTTTTTTTTTTAAGGGTTATCTCTTTCGTACAGTTGCTGGGAAACATCAGGATTTAAAATACATCTCTCCAGAAATTGTAAGTCATCTTTTTGGATCCTGCAACCTGTGGGGTATTTGAACCTAGTTGTTTCTGGCAGCCAAAGTTGATTCTCCTGGGCTTTCTCTCCACAGATGGCATCTGTTTTAAACGGCAAGTTTGCCAACCTTATTAAAGAATTTGTTATCATTGACTGCCGGTACCCGTATGAATATGAGGGAGGCCACATCAAGGTATGTTCCTGAGGTTTGCTTGTGAGTTCTACTGTTGTGGGAGGTGTAGAAGGAACCCTGACAGGATCTGTGATTTTATTTTATAACTTTTTTTTAAGATTTTATTTATTTATTTGAGAGAGAGAGAGCGAGGGTGAGGGACAGAGGGAGAGAGAGAGACTCAGCAGACTCCCTGCTGAGCAGGGAGCCCGATGCAGGACTCCTATCCCAGGACCCTGGGATCATGACCTGAGTCGAAGGCAGTTGCTTTACAGACTGAGCCACCCAGGCACCCCATGGATGTATGATTTTAAAATGTGGAGGGGTGGTCAGGGTGCCTGGGTAGCATAGTTGGTTAAGCGTCCAACTCTTGATCTCAGCTCAGGTCTTGAACTCAGGGTTGTGAGTTCAAGCCCTGCATTGGGCTCCACACTGGGCATGGAGCCTACTTTAAAAAATAAATAAGAGTAAAAAGTAAAATAAAGGTGGGTGGTGACACCTGGCTGCTTACTAGCTCATATGCTGGTTATGAGAATTTTTAAAAGGGGCCTTGAATCCTGGTGCACTGAAGAATATTCCCTGGCCTACACTACTCCACCACATTGTACAGCAAATGTTCCCTGTCCTGTGCCTCACACCGTCACCATCAAGGGCATTTCTAGGTGGTACCCACTGATTTCTAAGCCAGGCCTGGGCACCCCAAGGCTTCTGACTAGAAGCCAGTCTCTGGTGACATGTTCCAGTCTACGCCAGACTTAGTGATGCCTCTAAGTCTATAGTTGAATTAAGCTGCAGGGTGGAGGGCAGGTGTGGGGACACGGTTTCCCAGGAAGAAAGTAACTGGTTGTGCCAACTTAAATCTTTTAACCAATAAAATAGTGTTGAAATACAGTAAAGGAGTACACTAAATATAACAGCGTTTGCCACTGTCTCGGTGGCTTTTTGAAAGTCCCGAATTCATAAATACCCGTCATGCCCATCACGGTCATAACAATATGAGGTGCCTAATTAAAGATGACTCACAGAATCCTTATTGGCAAGGGTGATGCGCACAGGTGCCAAAAGAGTCTCTGGTGCCTCCACAGGGTGCGGTGAACTTGCACATGGAAGAGGAGGTTGAGGACTTCTTACTCAAGAAGCCCATCGTGCCTACTGATGGCAAGCGTGTCATTGTCGTGTTCCACTGCGAGTTCTCTTCTGAGCGAGGCCCTCGCATGTGAGTGCTGTGTGCAGCCGGGCTCTGGGCCAAGGGCCCGCGGTAACGGGGGGCATGAGGCGGGGGAGGCTCACACTCGGGGTGTACCTCAGCACACCGAGCACCCTCTTGCACCTCCCAAGTCATTTCCGTACTTTAGCCTGCATACATGTAACTCTTTGCTTCTTTGAAAGTTCAAATTCATGTGTAGCAGATGTTTTCCCAAATTCTTATCTATTAAGCAGTCATTTGATTTGATGAACAGCTTCCTTGAGTGTGGCTTTTTATAGGCTTGACCTAGCAGTGTCTGTTGCCAAGGCTTTGGGCCTTCTCCAGCCCGGCCCTGTCCCTGATGCTAATGTGGTCCGTGCTGGGAGAACTGAGGGACAGCTGGAGAGGGGGGTGGGGGCTGGGCCAGGGTGGGCTGCAACTCTGACAAGGGTGGGCCAAGGTAGACTTTTCATAGGCCCACAGGCCTGGATTCTTGTGCAGCCTTTTCATTTTGAACCAATTCAAAAGTCAGGCCACATGGGGGCGCCTGGGTGGCGCAGTTGGTTAAAAGTCCAACTCTTCATTTTGGCTCTAGTCATGTTTTCAGGGTCATGAGTTCAAGACCTGAGTTGGGCTCCATGCTGAGCGGGGAGTCTGCTTGAGATTATCTCCCTCCCTCTGCCACACCCCCACACACCCCACACACACTCACTCACTCAAATAAATAAATCTTTTTTTTTTTTTTTTAATTTGAGAGAGAGCATGCGCAGGAGTGGGGAAGAGAGAGAGGGAGAAGCAAACTCCCCACTGAGCAGGGAGCCCCATGCAGGGCTCAATCCCAGGACCCTGAGATCATGACCTGAGCCAAAGGCAGACACTTAATGGACTGAGCCGCCCAGATGCCCCTAAATAAGCAAATCTTTAAAAAAAAAAAAAAAAAGCCATTTGCCTACGTGTGCTTCACCTGACTTCAGCAGCAGCTACTGTTTTGCTGCATTAGCACACATACAACTACAGCAGGAACTTGTCTCCCCGCCTTCCTCCCAAGGACAGGGACTTGCCCTGCATTTGGCACAAAACCATAATTACAGGAAGAGGTAGGATTTGAGCGAGGACTCCTGTTCCTTCACAAATGGGATTATTCATTCAGGTACAAGTACTTACTGTTGCCCCTCACATGCTAGATAGTGTTCTGGGTAGTGTGGAGAACGGCAAAACGTAGGAGAACCAACAGCCCTGCCTTCAGGGAGCTTGCATTTCCAAGTGGGCGGGAGCAGACAAATACGATAAAAAATAGGTCAGCTACTCTGTGTGTTAGAAGGTGCTTCGGAGACAAATAAGATGAGAGGTGGGTGCTCCCAGGCAGGTTGGAGGAAAAGCAAGGGGGCCAGAGTGGCTGGAGTAGAGAGAGGGGGAGGGCTGCAGGGGCGGGGTACCACGTTATGGGCCACTGTAAGGACTTTGGCTTTTGTACCAGGGGTTGGGAGGTCAGGAGCCACAGCGAGGTGAGGGTATTAGAGTATTCAGGATTCAATCCAAGTGGAGGGTGCAAGTAGGCGCCCTGAGGCAGGAGCTAGGTCGGCCTATTTAAAAGGCACAGGAAGAAAAGAAAGCAGCCAGCTTACATAGGAAGTAAGGGAGGGACCCCGGCCGTGGAGGAGGCGGGGGGTGGGGTGCCAAGGGTGGAGACTGCATTGGAAAGCTGGTTTGGAAGCTGTCGCTCCACATGGGGTGCCGGTGGGGGCAGGGAGGACGCTGGGCAGGGGCCGGGCAGTAGGGCTGTTCAACTCAGAGGCAGGATCATTGGAGAGAGACCGTCTCCCTCCCACCACCTGTGAGCTCTTCCTAAAGATCACGTGTGGCCAAGAACGCACGGCTCAACACTGACTGTTTGCAAGAATGACCGAGAAACTGGGAAGCTGTGTAAGGAGTGCTTGCACTGCCGCACCGCCCTCACTGTGTTGTCTCGTGTTGCTCTGTATCAGAAGACCTCACCTTGCCTTGGCCTGCCTTCTTGACAGGTGCCGGTACGTGAGAGAGAGAGATCGGCTTGGTAACGAGTATCCCAAACTCCACTACCCTGAGCTGTATGTCCTGAAGGGCGGGTACAAGGAGTTCTTCCTGAAATGCCAGGTAAGGAGAAGTGTCTGGAGGGCACGGTGCCCCCCTCACCCAGCTCGGACAGTCCGATCTGTCTGGTGGTCATGGCTGTGTCTCGTCCTGGCTCTGGGGCTCTGCCCTGCACAAAGAAAAGCCCTGGAACGTGCTGCGCTTTTGGCGCTGCTCCGCACCTTGCAAGCCCAGATGGGGGGAGCCGGCTTCCACGCGTGAGCCAGGGACCCCTCATCTCGTCCTCTCCTGTCTGCAGTCTCACTGTGAGCCCCCCAGCTACCGGCCCATGCACCATGAGGACTTCAAAGAAGACCTGAAGAAGTTCCGCACCAAGAGCCGGACCTGGGCGGGGGAAAAGAGCAAAAGGGAGATGTACAGCCGCCTGAAGAAGCTGTGAGGGCGGCCGTGCTGGACAGCAGCCGCCTGAGGCTCCCTCTGTGCCTCCCCCCTTCCCTCTTTGCTGCAGAGAAACTTGAGCGAAGGGGCTAGCCGCGTGCACGACGTGTGGGGAGAGGACCCGGAGCCAGTGGGCCTTCCCCTGGCTCTGCGCTCCCGGGGTTGGAGCGTCCCACCAGCCGCACCCCTTGCGTCCCTGTAAGACATTCTCCTTCTGCCTCGGGACTGGCTGCCAAGGCTGTCACTGCTGTCACTGGCCGCAGCACCAGTCCGAGCACGGAGTCAAGAAGTTCTGATTTCTCACTGCCTGCCGTCGGACAGACCACCTGGGGCCTTACTGGGCACTGTCCTCTCCTGGGGGCGGGTAGGAGAGTGCGAGAGAAGTAACGGAAGCAGAAATGCTGTGGTCAGATGCCAAAGACAGCCTGGGAAGGGAATGGTCTTGGTGGGATAACCCGTCTCGTTAATTTATTCAACTTCATCAATCACTTTATTTTTTTTTTTTTTTTAAACTCCTGGAGACTTTTATTTAACTGCTTCTTTAAGTCATAATACTGCCATTCTGGGTAGGGTTTTATCATCCCAGGGACTACCTCTGCTTTTTTAAAAAAAAAAAAAAAAAGGATGGGGGAGAAGCGGCAAACTTGTGTTGAGGGACAGAACTAGGAGCTCTGTCACCCCCAGGAGGCACTGTGGTACTGGGCCCGCTGCTATTTAAAGCCAAGGACTGAGGTACTGGTAGGAGCAGGCACTGGACTCAGACTTGGCTACAGGACATAAGCTAAACCTCCCAGACCTACCTCGAAGGCCACTGAGATCTATGGGGGGGGTGGCCCTGCTCTTCCTCACCCCAGTTCCCTGTGACGCTGGCTGGTATAGGAGTCCCAGTCAGGAAAGCACTTCAGGCAGCTTCCATTGGGCCGCCCCCAGGTCATTGTTGGCATGTGGTAGCATAGGTGTCCTAGAGTAGTGGGGGGGCAGGGCGGGGGGGGGCTCTTCGGGATGGGGGAGGGGAGTGTACACTGAGTGTCTTGGATTACTCTGATACTCTTGAATAGCTTTTAATTTTCTAAAAATAGTCATTGTCCAAGTCAAGGAGGATCAAATCAGTGTTCATGGGCCACCCAAGGGTGAAGAGGGGCTGGAAGCCCTGGGCATTAGAAGAGGGGTGTGGGTGCTGGCATACAGATGACTATACCGAATATGTTTCTCAGGAGGCAGCGTGGTGGATTTTGAAGGTAAAACTTTCTGAGTTTATCATGTTTGAATTTGAGGGACAGGGAGTGATGGATCATCACTAGTTGCCCCCTCATCTAACCCTGTGGAAATGGGGGTCTCAAAGGAACAGCTCCTATCCAAGGAGCTGGGACTGACTTGGTTGATTCTGGACAGGCCTATTTGGTTCCTGCTCATCCCCACCCATAGGCACCAGCCCCTGCACCATCTTTGCTCCACTGGGGTGTAGCCAACTTTCTCTTAAACACAAGAGCCAGTCTCCCCTCTTACTTCCTTTCCTCCTCCCAAGGTAGGGAAGGAAGCAGTGGTCCCGGAGATGGTTTGTTGTGTTGTTATGGGTTCCAGTTGCATTTGGCTATGAAACAATCTTATTAGGAAAAAATCAGTGGGGAGGAGGGGAACAGGAAGAAAGAGGAAGGCCTCTTCCCCCTCTCACCACACATTGAGACACATCTCAGTTGGTCTCTAATCTTGTTTGTAGGGATTCTGTTGGTTGGATGCCTGGAAAGGGAGGTGGGATGGCCTTAAGATGGTACCAGCTTAGCTCACATTACTGACCAGCTGTTGCAGGCTCTGAAAATAAAAACAATCCTGAACCCATGCTCTCTGCCTAGTTCTTGATGGATTTAAGAGAATTGTGTTTCCCTTTAAAATTCTGGGACCATACTTGGCTAAAACCAGTGGGGGGTGGAGGGGTGGCCAAATTTCCTCAAGAGGCCAAAGGGCTCCCGTGTAGCAGGGCTTCAGGGATGGCCAGAATGACCTCTAGTTACTACCCTGACTCCAAAAACTTGTCATTCAGATTGATTGGCAAGATGAAATAGGGACATCAAAGGTTACCCAAACCCGGCTCCTGGATGGCTCAGTCGGTTAGGTGTCTGCCTTCGGCTCAGGTCTCCTGGGATTGAGCCCCACGTTGGGCTCCTTGCTCAGCGGGGAGTCCGCTTCTCTCTCTCTCTCTCTTTCAAATAAGTAAAAGCTTCAACATCTACTCAGAGCCAGTCTTCTCTTCCTCACTCTCCCTGACTTTGTTCTTTAAATTTACTCTAAGCAGGTAACACTTCTCTGGATTATTGCCAAAGCCAGCTGGCCTTTGGCTTAGCCTGTTGTTGCCACAATAAACTTGCTAAATGTCTAATGAGATCAGCCCATTCTTACTGAAGAGTTTAATGGCTCCTTGTTGCCTATAAAATTAAACTTGAACTCTAGCCCATGTGCAAAGATATAACCCCAGCCTTACCCTATGTTCATCTTACACTCCAATAACAGGCAGAGTTCTATTTCTAGAATGTACCCTGCCCTCTGAACCTTGCTTGGAAGTTTGGTTGAGAGCTGAGGATCTTGGGTAAGACAACTCAAAAAAAATTAGGGGCAGCTGTGTTGTATGCAAGCCATCATCCGTTGGTTCCAATAAAAAATGTTTTAAGTTCAGGGGCACCTGGCTGGCTCAGTCGGTGGAGCATGTGACTTGAGCTTGGGGTTTGTGAATTCGAGCTTAATAGTAAATTGTCCAGTCTGACCCATTCCCCCAAGGTAACTGCTGCCCCTGGCATTGTGATTGTTGCCTAAGCAAGCAGATACAGAATTGCTTTTCATGTTTTAAAACTGCGCAAATATCTCCATTTTGTGTACATTCTTCTGCATCTCACTTTGGGTTTTTTGTGGGTTTTTTAAGATGTTATGTATTTGAGAGAGAGTGCGTGCACGTGGGGAGGGGTGGAGGGGAAGGTAGAGAGAATTCCGAGCTGAGTGCTGAGCCCGATGCAAGGCTTGAGAACACGACCCAAGCCCAAACCAAGAGGTGGATGCCCAACTGACTGAGCCACCCAGGCACCCCTCACTTTGGTTTTTAGACTCTTTCTTACACCAAGCGGCATAAGGGCACTTGGCTCCAGGAAGGGCAAAGCATGAGTCAGTGATGACTCACAGGTCACACCTCTCCAACCAAGGAATCTGCAGTAAGTCACTTCTCGTGACTTTCCTCAGAGATAACAAAGGGCACTTGAAGTAGGTATTCCACTGCCGCTACCCCTGTCCCAACATTCTGTGACTTAGGTATTTGGATGCCCCCATACCCACTTCAGATCTACTGGGAAGAAGGGCATCCATGGAAGAAGAGCTGTTGCTTTCACATGCTCGTTCCAACATTTCAGTTGTGCTAGGTAGGCACTGAGGATGAGGAGATGGGTAACAGGCAGGCTCTCCTCAAGGAGCTCACCAACTAGTGGAAGAAAATAGTCCCTTCAAGGCCAGGAGCACATGGGAGTGACACTTCCGTGGAAGAGGAGCGAGGATCAAGACAGGTGTAGAGCAAATAGTGCTCAAGAGGGACGGAAGGAAGCATACCACCCAGGAGGTGATGGGTAAGCCTGATCTTGAGCAGGACTCTCAGGAGACGGGGTATTCCGGGAAGAAGGAATAGAAGGGTGAAACAGCACACACTGATGAATGTAGATGAGGTAGGGGACAAGCTTGGGAGGGCAAGGGTGGTGGAGAGAGACCAAAAACTGGATGTGGAGCTGAGGAGTCTGGAGAGCAGGACTTCTCAAGTTTAACAGAGCAGAAGTCACACCGGGGGAACTCGTTAAAACGCAGATTCTGGCTCCATAGGCCTGGGATTCTGCATTTTCTCAAACTCATGACCTGGAGATCAAGAGTCGCAGGCTCTTCTGACTGAGACAGGCGCTAAGCGACTCTGCCTTACTAACAAGCTCCTGATGCCATGGGCCTTGGTCCACACCTGGTGAAGCCAGCCCGTGCGAGGCAGCAGTGGCTGAGGGGTCTGGCTGCCGAGGGGCGCACAGCCACAGGGGAAGCTGTGGGCCTGGGAGACCAGGACGCTGGGCACTAGACCTGGTGGTGGGTGGATGGTAGTAGGGGGAGGGAGAGGCCACGGTGGCATCCTGGCTCCTAACCTGAGGAACTGGGTAGACTGTTGGCACTTAGAGCAAAAAATACAGGAAAGGAAATGTCTGCATTGAGGAACTTTATAACGCTGCTGGCCTGTATTCTCCATAAATGTCAGCACCACGCAGGGCAGAGGGGCTGAGGAACCGTTCCAGATTAAAGGAGACTCAAGAGACCTGACAATTAAATGAAATATGGGGTCCTGGACCAAAACAGAAAGTGCTATAAAGGACATTTTGGGGACAATTCACAAAATTGCAATATGGACTGTTGATTAAGGTTAAAAGACTGCCTCAGTGTTTAAAGTTCCCTGAATTCGATAATTATCTAAGGATATCCTTATTCTCAGGAAATAACACTGCAGTTAAGGTTAAGGACTATGACATAGGAGAGTGCCTGGCTGACGAGGTCAGTAGAGCGTGAGACTCTTGAACTCAAGGTTGTGAGTTCAAACCTCACCTTGGGTGTGGAGCCTACTTTTTATTTTTTTATTTGACAGAGAAAGACACAGCGAGAGAGGGAACACAAGCAGGGGGAGTGGGAGAGGGAGAAGTAGGCTTCCCGCCGAGCAGGGAGTCTGATGTGGGGCTCGAACCCAGGACCCTGGGGTCATGACCTGAGCCGAAGGCAAACACTTAATGACTGAGCCATCCAGGTGCCCCGGGTGTGGAGCCTACTTATAAAGGGGGGGGGCATCTGGGTGGCTCAGTACGTTAAGCGCCAGGCTTTTTTTTTTTTATAAAGGTTTTATTTATTTATTTGACAGAGAGACACAGCGAGAGAGGGAACACAGCAGGGGGAGTGGGAGAGGGAGAAGCAGGCTTCCCGCTGAGCAGGGAGCCCAATGCGGGGCTCGATCCCAGGACTCTGGGATCATGATCTGAGCCGAAGGCAGACGCTTAACGACTGAGCCTGCAACTGAGCCACCCAGGCGTCCCTGATTTTTCTTTTTTTAAGTAAACTCTAGGCCCAACATGGGGCTGGAGCTCACAACTCAGAGATGACGAGTTACATGCTCTACCAACT